TGAAACATTACTGATTCGTCACAGAACAGATGTTTTCATCACATCTGGTCCAGTAAAGGTCCAAACACAAACAGGAAACTGTCTTTAAAGCTGTTCTGCTGAGTCAGCTTCAGTCCTGGCTTCTTCAGGAGGAATCAGTATCTTACCTGCGTCAGACGGCAGTGGACTCTGAGCAGAGTTTCGGACCTGTTGGTAACGTGGACTGGGCTCAGTTCTACAGGGTCTGCTTTGTAAACCAGGTTCTTACAGTCAAATGATGAAGACCTGCTGGACCTCATCAGTCTTCAGAACCACAGTGATGCAGAATGAAGACTCAGGTCATGAACCTGCACTTTGGCTTCTCCATTAGAACCTGRTTCCTGCATGTAAGATGCTGACTGCTCACAGAACCTCTGCCCGCTCCCTGACTGACTGCTGGGTGGTCTTGTCGTTTGCAGAGGTGGTGTCGGCGGTCCTCAGCGTGCTCCTCATCTACATCCTGACGGCCGTCCTGCTGTACGAGGCGGTCCAGAGGACCGTCCACCAGAACTTTGACATCGATGGAGACGTCATGCTGATCACTGCAGCTGTGGGCGTGGCCGTGAACCTCATGTGAGTTCTGCACCCCTCTGGGTCCAGCTGCTGGTCCTGCTGGTCCTGCAGGTCCTGCTGCAGGTTCTGTAAACTGAGCTGAGTCTCTGTCCTGGTTCTTCTCCAGAATGGGTTTTTTATTAAACCAAGGCGGTCACCTCCACTCACACGGACACGGACACTCTCACGGCGCCGCCGGTTCTGCCGGGTCGGGTCAGCAGAGACCGCACGGCAGCCTGGCTGTGAGGGCGGCCTTCATCCACGCTTTGGGAGATCTTCTTCAGAGCGTCGGGGTTCTGATCGCTGCTTACATCGTCCGCTTCAAGGTAGGCCACGCCCACAGCTGTAGGTGTTAACACCACACACAGGTGTTGTTGTTGTTGTCAAATTAAAGTGATCCCTGATTAGTTGTAACTTTAGACGTTTTTGATAAATGTGACTCATCACATCAAAATGAGGATTAAGTCAAATCTGGTCAAAATGACCTCATTACATTTTCCACTTCCTGGATTTAAAAGTTATATTTTGACACCTGGATTATTCTGACATCATCAGTTTATCCAGAGATATGACTTCATTTGTCTTGTTGGTTACGATGATATATTACAGTTTGGTCTGAATCCTAATTTTATGTAAATTTATTGTGTAATTTTTGATGTGAATATAAAAAGAAACCTCAAATAGTATTTGTGTAGGAGGATTTCCCAGTTGGAAAGAAATAAAAACATCGCTAACTCTCAGGGAAAAATTCAAAATGTTAAGATGACTTCATTTGTCTTGTTGGTTACAATGATATATTACAGTTTGGTCTGAATCCTAATTTTATGTAAATTTATTGAGTTATTTTTGATGTGAATATAAAAAGAAACCTCAAATAGTATTTGTGTAGGAGGATTTCCCAGTTGGAAAGAAATAAAAACATCGCTAACTCACAGGGAAAAATTCAAAATGTTAAGATGTTTTTCCTCAAAATCAGGGTTTTTGTTGCTAAAGCTCAAGAAAATGCTTCAGAATTGTTTTTAGGGTTGTATTTCAGACGTTTCATTCAAGTGATACGTTGATAAGGCTTTGTTATTGTTAATTCATTAGATTTTGACAAAATGCAATTTGAACATGTTTAAATCAAAACCCTGTATCTGCCCGTTTCTCCACTTCCTGCTTTTGGACTTAATCCTCATTTTGATGTGATGGGTCACAAATACTGTAACTGTAAAATAAAGACTGTAAAAATACTGTAGGATGTTTACTTTTGTAAATAAAAAAAATAAACATGGACGGAGCCATTTTATTTGCACACAAAGCATTCTGGGTAAATGATGACGTGGATAGGTCCTCGG